TAGCTATTTGTGTGGCACTAAAAATGTCTAACATTTCAGGAATTTTTAAAAATCTTTAAAAATAAAGTTTTATAAAAATAATATCTATATAAATTTTAAATATTACATTTATATGAACTTAAAATTCATATAATTTTAGTTTCTGACATATTAAAAATTACAAGGTGCAAATAGAAGATGACAAAGAGTAAATTTAAAAGGTGTATTACAAATCTATCAGCTAACTCAAAAAGGTGTATCACAAATCTACCAACACAAAAAAGGGAAAAGTCATATCAGGGAACCCAAATTCACAGGAAAAAACTATAGTCTACATGAACACAATATGAATATTTCAACAGAATTTACAAACACAACAAATAATAAAACATACTGTTTTAACAAACTGCTCTAGTACCAGCATTAAGAGGTCAGATTTGAATGGGACAAATGAAAATACTAGATTGTTTCTTTTGGAAAACCTGAATGTTGGTTTATTAAATCATTTGTTCCTTGATTTACATGTCTAGATTGTTGCAGTTAACTTTAGACTTTAAAATACATACACTCACAAGCACTGTCCCACCTGCACACACATAAACACCTACAATCTTGGTTCTTGAAATTTTTGTTAGTTTTCTTATTTCATTTTTGTTTGTTATTCTAATTCAAGGGGAGAGGTTCTGCACAGTGTTTGTAAATAACAAGCATGACAATTAAGTTGAAATTCAGACCATGCAATGAAGTGGCGAAAAAAAAGATGAGGTCAGTGACCAATGGTAAAACCTGACAAAAAGTATAATTTTGATTACAGCTAATGAAATGCTTTTCTTCATTAAGAACTTCCAGAGTTTGTAAACACTCCCTCACAATTTTAAATGGAGATGAAAGTTAAATCTATCAAGTCCAAATGGTACAGTGATAACTATGAATATGTAATCCCTGGATAATCTTTTGGAGGTATTTTCAGGAAGAGTCAAAGATCAAGTATGGTGCATAAGAGTAGAATCAACACTGTATGAGTTACTACAATTTAATAGGCTTATAAAAGCACAATTATAATTGTCAGTTTTAAGCCAATTTGAGGCAGTAGTCAATGAGCTTTCAATTGAATCTTAGCATTTAAGATTGGGTTTCTTTTTTTCATGGACAACTATTGATTCCAGAATTAAACATCAAAAGGCTTTGATAACGTGAACTGTATTCCTAAAAGGTTTTTTTTGTCTTTAGTTAAGTATTCACTGTTTTGTAGAATCATGAATAAACTATGGTTAAAGTTTAATTCAATGCAAAATTTCAATGGAAAAGTCTAAACATATCTATTATTTTCAATCAGGATAAGCACCCATTAGCAATATGTATGCATGCAATCATCCCCTATGTCAAAGACTGGGATTGTGGTTATAAAGAAGTATGGTAAATGACACATTCTTTAATGGCTCATAATTTTAAAATGTTTACAATGTAATAGAGTATACAAATATCTTATTATTATGGATTAATAATGTGTGGCTTATCCTCTTGTGAAAAATAGAATGAAATTTTCCAAGGTAAGATTGAATCAGCATTCAATAAACTTTGCCCCCCAAAGACTGTTGAAACCCAATCATATTAGTTGACTTAGTATAGATTCCAGGGTTCACAAAGCACACATGACACCCTACCCCCGCTTACTTGGAACTTTATTGGTCCTTCTTCAGGCTGCTATGTGACTACCCATTGGCCCTTGCTCTAAAGAAATTATAATGCAGAAGGTAAAAATCTTAATAATTGTAATCCAGAAACCCCAACAATGATACTCTCTTGTTCCTCATGTGTTGTTAACACTTAGAAAATCTTTCTAATCCACTATATTGTGGACTTAGAATAAGGCTTTCTAGCTAATCAAATAGCTCTTTTACTAATTCATTTATTCATACATTCTTTCTTTTGTAAAATTATTCTAAGCATCTATGGTGTACAAGACAATTTATTTATATTTGCTCTTATTTACTGCTTTCAAAAACTTTAAAGTTCAATAAGAAGTATTCATTCATTCATTCATTCATATGTTCATTCTTTCATTCATTGAGTTATTTCCTGAACCAATATATTCCAAGCACTGTTGGAAATGCTAGAGACAGAGACACGCAAAAAACAAAAACAAAAACAAAAAAAACCCTGTCAGAGTCTCTACTTCCATGAGGCTCATGTGCTCACCATGGCGAGAGTAAAAATTAGTGTCAAGAAATAAAGCAAATGTAATGTCAGATTAATAGGAATCAAGAAGAAAAAAAGAGTAGAGTGAATCCATAGTAAGTGGCTGAGGTGTTATTTTAGATAAGACAGTCTGAGTAGGCCATTTAGAGACAATGTTTAAGGGGAGACCTGAACAATATACTATTGGGGAAGAGTTTCCAGGCATAGGGCAAAGCAAGCACTGTGGGCCCAAGGTGAGGATAGAATTGACTTATTTCTAGAAGAGCAAGTAGGCTCCTGTGGCTAAAGTGGAATGAGGGTAAGTGGGGGTCTTTTACAATGAGCCCTTTGAGCAAAGGTAGGAAGGGCATGCTAAAGATTTGGGGATTTAATTCAAAGTGGGAGTGAAATATATAAGCCACATACAAAGTCTCACAATTAAGTTCATGAATTCCTAGAAAAAGTGCTACATACCTCATTGCTGAATATCACCATGGTCACCTTCGAAATGCTCCCCTTGGGAAGCTATGCACTGACACCAGTGCCTAGTCTAGCCTTCAAAGCAATTTTGGAGCTCTTTTTCCAAATGACCATCAGAGCTGTCATTGTTTTACCCTTGATGTACTACTGAATGTCATCAAAATGTCTTCCTTTCAAAATTTCCTTTATATTCAGATAAAGGAAGAAGTCATTGGGGGCCAGGTCAGGTGAGTAGGGAGGGTATGCCAATACAGTTATTTGTTTACTGGCTAAAAACTCCCTCACAGTACCATATGAACTGGTGCATTTTTGTGATGCAAGAGCCATTAATTGTTGGTGAAAGGTTCAGGTTGTCCAACTTTTTCACACAGCCTTTTCAGCACTTGCAAATAGTAAACTTGGTTAACTGTTTGTCTAGTTGGTACAAATCCATAATGAATAACCCCTCTTATATAAAAAAAAGTTAGTAACATTGTTGCAAATTATTACTACATGTAACATGACTTAAGAGAGATAAACTTCAAAATGCCTTCAGATGAATTGGCTAGGAAAAGGGAAAGGAGACCCCAGCTCACTGCAGACTTGGTAGGGAACAGATGTCAGGAAGGCTGGACAGAGGATGGGCAACTGGGAAGCCAGTTACCTTGTTGGACTTTATTTAACCTCTATATCTGCCATTTCCCAGGGTCCATAATGTTTCCTGCTTTCATTCTCAGAATGTTTTAACCCAAAAAACTTCTCCTTCGATCAGAGAGGCAGAAATGATTATGTCTCTGGTTAAGATGTATATTGCAGATGTTCATATTTACTTGTCTGTTCTGTAGTAGCCTGCTTTATTTTGACAAGCATTTTCCAATTGCCCTACTGTTTTTCGGAATCACATTTATCTTCCAATTAGATTTTATGGTGTAGATTCCTCCCATTTCCCATTAATTTATTTTTTTCCATTTCTGAGTTGTGTTCTTTATTTTATTTTTGCTTTATATTTCTAATTATTGTTGAAGGTAGCTTTAAAATACTGCTCGAGTTCATTTGTTTGAATGCCTCTGATGAAACTTCAATTTCAGAAATATCTATTGTTACCTTTCTTTTTTCTACATTGATCTTGATCCTGAGGAGAGTTATAAAATTTTCTTTTAAGTCACCTGACTCCATTCCTGGGTCAAGCCAATATCATAATCCTAGAACCTGGGAAGTCCATGATCAAGGTGCCAGTAGATCTGGTGTGTGGTGAGGGCCTGCTTCCTGGTTTGCAGATGGCTGTCTTTTCCTTGTATCCTCACATAGTGGAGAGCGGAGGGCTCTCATGGAGTTCTTGAGCTTCGTGAAGGAAAGGGGGAAGGCTATATTTTCCCCTCCAGGTTAATTCTCCTCAGCAGAACTTGTCAGTGGTGACTATAACTGTGTTTTTAAGCAGAACTCCAAGTGTCCAGGAATGGCAATTAGCCAGCTTTTTACTAAAAATGTAACTACCCAATTATCATACCTGCTGGCTGCATTCCAGCAAATTTGAAGGGGACTTCTGCGGTGAAATAGACATAGATGATTTCTACATCTCACTTGGAGTTACCTTCTATTGAGCAATATGTTTCCTTAACTTTTTTTATCCTTGAAAATTTGAGTTCTAAAGCACCTAATGACTGTTGCTTTTTCTCTTAGCTGTGTTAGAATTCACGCCTTTAAAATGCAATCTCACTGTAAACCCAATTAACTGCTAGTAAAAGCAACTCATGGAGTTAGTGCATCTATTGAGAGTAAAGAAGTTAAAGATAAGGTTTTTAATGACAAAAGCCAAGGCAAAGCTCTCTCTTACACATCAATTTCAACAAAATGGGTGGGCAGGGCACAACCCTCCCCATGAGGAGAAATGTAAGAGGAAAAAGGAGAAGAAGCAACAGGGAGTTTTGCTCTATGGACTGGATGGCTTCAGATAGGACTGGAACAGCAGTCTTTATCAGAAGCTCAGTGATGCTTTCTTTGTCCTGCAGCTTTGGGCCAAGGGGACACATTCTGGAAAAGAAACAATGAAAAGGTAACAGGAAAAGTAATGTTCTTTGCAAACAGAACATTTAAAGAAAGTAAATAATTGTTGAATTCTTACTTTGTGCTGTGTTCTTTATTTTGGCTTCCTAAATCACTGTGAATTAATCTCTATTTTGAGATGCAGAAACTGAGGCTCTGAAGGCCACGGGGCCACTGTCCATGGGGCTTTCTACAATATGGGCTCCGGGACATAGACCTCAAGTAGTCTGACTGAATGGGTATGAGGTGGAACTTGGGATTCTGTATTTTTAATAAGCTTTCCAGGTGATTTCTCTAATCAATCAGACTTGTCAATTATAATACTCTGTGCTTCCTTTCAGAGAGTAGACATATCATCCTAGTGTGCTGAATGGAAAAACAACAACAACCAAAACAAAACAAAAAAAAAACCATTGTAAAGACAATGCATCAAGGATAACCTCCAGTGAGTAAGTGAGTAACAAAGTTATTTTTCTGAACTGTCAGAAATACATTTGCAACTCTGCAGGACAAGACAATACATGAATATGCGATTGAAAGGGATAGACATAAATAAGAATATCCTGTGATAGTGACAGAGAGTTTTACAGGGATGTACCTTAGAGGGTCAGAGAAAACAGAATAGATGTTGAAGGTTTCGAATGAAAAATAACTGGCTAAAACAGAAAAGCGAGCAAGAATAAAAGTGTGGTGCTGATTGGTAGTGGACGACATGCAATTCCCTCCCCTCCATTCAAGTGCCAGTGACTTTCCCAAAAGGTGGAAAGTAAGAGGGTCACGATGACACCAAATCAAAGATATGGAGCTAATGTCCATGTGGAGGACACATGTCAATTAGTCGAGGGTGAGCTGAGTTTCAGTGTGTTCAGTGGATTTCTGGAGAGTGTGCAGGGAGGCTGAAGAGAGACGCAAATGAAACTCACAGGCTTTACATGCCCATTCAAGAAAATTACTAAAGTTTGAGGGGTTGCAAAGAATGCAAATGGATTATGTATTTTAACTTAGGAAGCTTTAGTGTTTGTATGCAATCGTTATGCCTCACAGTTGATTACATGATATTTTCTTTCATTTAAAAGTTGTTAGACATCTGCAGAGAGGGTGCCTTTGCTGTTTTTCAGTTATTTCTGGGAGTATGCAGAAAGGGGAAGTGGCTCAGCCCTATCTAAAGAGCCCCCTCTCATCTTTTGAATAAACTGCTCATCAGGTTCTGTCCAGGCCAAAGCTACACCCAGCAGAACCTGATCATAGAGGCTTCTGTAGCTCTAGATCAATTGAGCAGGAGTAGACAGGAACTGATAATAACACCAAAGTCATGGCCATGAAATGTCTATGACAGCAATCCTTAACCCTTCCCAGAATTACAATGACATGGCGAGCTTTTAAAAAATGTAATACCCAAGCAGAACCCCAGACTAATTACTTCATAAGCTCTGAGTGTGTGGCCTAGGCATCAGTATTTCAAAAGCTCCCAAGGTGTATGCCAATAAGTGGCCAATGTTGAAAATCACTAGTCTGAGACTTTGCCTGTTTTCCTCATAGTATAAAGATTCTATCAACATCTTATGTAGAAAATGGAATTCAATATATATTACACCTGTAAATATATAGTTAAGTAGTTACATATTCACTTTGAAAACTAAAATGGATTCACGCATGCCATTATTTTACTTCTAAATTAATCCTTATTTCAAAAGTCCCAATTTAAATATATTACTAGATCTTCCACATTATCCAAGAAGAAATGTATTAACAGTCAAGAACTTATCTGACCATATTTTCATAACCAGGTCTTCATTTGCAGAGATAGCATTTATGGAAGTAGTACCTAAACTAAAACCTCTCTTATTTAGTAGCTGATTCAGTATTATAGAATTTAAAATAAAAATAAATTTTGAAAAAGTTTTTAATAGTGATAATCATTAATTCAGTCCAAAGCCTGGATCAATCATTTGTCTAATTACTTAATGTCACAGGATGAAAGACTGTTTCCACAGAGATCTTCAAAAGCACTTGGTTCATTCGTAAACTACAATTTTCTTTCTCCCTTTCTTACCACTTTAGCTCTCTGTTTGTTTGTTCATTTGTTTTGTTTAGTATGGAGGATCAATGATTACTGGGAGGGAGCCTGGTAATATACAACACAGGATTAAATAGAAGCTATTCTGTCCCATAGAAATTCAGTTTATTAGGAACTCTAGGCACCTGAGTGTTTAAATTTCTCATCCCCAAGGTAACAAACTATTATATTTAGGACTTTAAGACCCTCCTGCATCACACATGTTGTAGTGAGAAAAGTCTGGAATAAGAGTCGGGGTGGAGGGTAAGGAAACACAGCTCTTGAGTTAACAAGTTTTGCTATCTTGAATGAATGACTTAACCAGCCCCTCTGACACGAATTTTGTCATTTGTCCACGAAAGGGCTTGGACAACACTGAAGAGCTAAGTCCCTTTTAACTTGAACTTCTTATGGAATATATTTTAGATCGGTGACCTATGGAAATAATTGCATTTTGAGGAGTTTGATGGCGATTCATTTCATTTGTTATAAATCAAATGTAGAATGAATAAATTATGTAGGGTTCCCAGAAGAGACTAGAAAACATTTCTTTCCTGTAACTGTGCTTTTTATAATTGCAGGTTACACGAATTTCCATATTATTTCAGTTGTAGAAGCTCTGCTCAACATTGATTTAGTGCATTCAGATTACATTAAATATGTACCTTCAATAAAATGACATGATGTGTACATATAATTAAAGACTCTGGTGTGTGTTTTTGGACAAAATGTTGTTGCTGCAATCAAGTAAAAAAAAAAAAAAGAAAGAAAGACAGGGCTGGATCCAAAAATCAAACAAAACCTCAAACACCGAAAAGCTGTATAAATCAAAGCTTAAAATCTGAGTGGTAACAGCAGGCCCCGATCCATGAGTATAAACTGACGGAGGTGTGGTTTCCAAAGAGGCTCAGTCCACTTGTATACACAAAGCTTAAATTTATTGGGTTTTGCAGCAGTGACCATTTGCTTCTATGGCTCAAGCTTTGTTTCCTTGAGGGTTTCCCAATCCATCTCCCTCTTGAGCAAACTGCATGTGATGTGTTCTTTTTATTTAAGCCATTTGCATTCCTTTAAGTCTTTTCCCTTTTAAGGTAAAATAGATTTTAATTCATGTTAATGCCAATGAAATTTGGCATATCCTGATTCTAAGGCATGAGATCTCTTTTCATATAGCCCTTGATCTCTTTATTTTTTGAAAGACAGAAGAATGAGGCTTGAGGACTCATTGAAAGGTCAATTAAGCCATATTCCTGCTTTACGGACATGCGCTCTTGAATGGAGGAGAGAGCTTCTCAAAATTGTCCCCCACTTATTTCACTCAAACAATCAAATTTCATCTGAACAAATTATCTTAACAGGTCGTGACTATTTGCTCATCCACAGCAACTGAATTATGGTCAGAGATATTGGATCACAGAGAACGACAAGCCTGGGTTGGAGGCAAGGAAGATACAAGCTCTCGCATTGCTGTCACTTTGACCCTTATTACACAGGTGAATATTATGCCGACAAGTGATTCAGTTTCTGAGACGATGTGTATACTCTGTCAATGTATGTATTCTGATGCCACACATAACTTGACGGTTCAGAAGAGTCAGCTTTGAATTGTGTTTATGCTCTAGGTTAGAGTCCTGGGGGCCTCAACTTACGTTGTAGGATAAAAATGACAATTCTTCCCACACAGTACTTTCTGGTATACATATGCTGAAGATTTGATTGATTTTTTTTCCTATGTTTTAGGCTGTATTGTTGAGGACTGTGCTATCTTAGACCTATTAGGATACAAAAGTAAAATAATACTTATTTTCTGACATACTTTCTTCCGGGGCTACAAGAAAAAAAAATCAGAGGCCTTGGATTCTCTCCTTCCTCATATCTGAACCTAACCCTTCTCCACACATTTGCATCAGAAAAGAAAAAAAATGTACAGCCTCCTAAATAAAATATGCATGTCATAAAAACGTATGAGAAAAAACTCCAAGCCTCATAGCCTGCCTGTTATCAGACCTCTTATTTGCATACTAAGAATATCCATGAACACAGGAAAAATGTCAAACTATTGGTATCACAGATAATAGTCAACTAGTTTATCTCTAGTTCTTATTTAAGAAATGTACTCAAATAATTTGTGCTGTGGTTGTAGCCAAGAGTTGAAAGAATATATATATATATATATATATATATATATATATATATATATATATATCCAAAAAAATGTATACACATTTTAAGAAAAATAAAATCTGTATTACAATTGTAATTCTCACACTCTAACCAACTGAACCACTCAGCCAGTCCCTAAAATTGTCATTCTCAATATATACCGGTAACAAAAGATGAATACAAATCATGTTTATACATTTTTTGGCCATATATATCTCTCTATCTATCTATCTATCTATCTATCTATCTATCTATCTATCTATCTATATAGAGAGGGAGAGAGAGAAAGAGGGAGAGAGAGAGAGAGAGAGAAAGAGAGAGAGAGAGGGAGAGGGAGAGAGAGAGAGAGACTACCTAGGGTAGGCAATCCCATGATTTTATAAATGACGTAGGGCCTACTCTGATAGTGAAGGACTTTTAACTATTGATTTTTTTGTCTGAAGTCTAAGGAGGAGTTTGGCTCTGAACAGTTACCATTTTTCCCCTCAAAACATTTTCTCTCCTTGGGATATTGTTTCTTATGTATTCCCATGTTGAAAAATCTCTTTCTTCATAACATAGTGAAGAAATATTCATATTTTCCATTGAACAGTTTGGCTGATGTTTACAGGCAAAAGCAATCCGTTCTTCCTAACAAACCCCACAGCATTTTATCTGTATTCTGTTTATATTACCTCCTGGTTTTTTTTTCCTGTGTGTTTATTTGTATAAAAATTTCCTTGAAATAATAGTAATAATAATATTAATAACCCTTATTCATCTCATTCTTTTTTGCATCTTACACAATGCCTAGCACAACAACATAAGTAGTATAGCTATTTAATGCATAATTTTTAATACATGAAAGGAAGAGGTATAATACTTTTATTTTTTGTTATATTGGGACAGTACTCTATTGTGTTTCTTAACATTGTATTTCCAGCTTACACAAGGGAAACAATTTGCTCATTAGGGTTTTGCATCCTGGTCCATCCTCAGGTTCTAAACTTAACTTAAAATCTGGCTCCTTCTGAACTGAGAATCACTTAGTTTTATTCTCTGTCTTTTCAGAGTCCTAAACTACATCTGATTCTGTCAGATGTGCATTGGCAGCAGAATTTTATAGCCGGGCATCACAGGCATTTTATGAATTCAGTCTATTGTCACCTGAGCTATGTCAGGTAACAACATAGGATCACAGGTCAAATGGGGAAATAAAAACTAAGATTTGCCCTTACTTAGCAATAGACCCAACAAACTAACAATGCCCTGAATACACACATGGTTAAGAAATAAGTAGCTGCCTTTGTTCCTTACAAAAATCTTCCCTGTGATCAATAAGCTCAGTAGGGCTCACTAAGTGAGTGGCCACCAGGCTCTCAGAAACAAGGTTCATTTTATTTTTATACTATCTTAGGTTAGAGAAGAACAACATTAGTACAGTTCAACTCTATTAATATGTAAAGAAATGTTATACCTCATAACCATCTTGGCCACTTGAAATTTTGGTCCTGACCTAGCATAGTCATCATTTGATTTTATGCTGAAACTCTCATTGCTTCAAAATTGTTAGGATGTGTCTAAAACAATAAATACAATTTAAATAAGGGAAATAATTGATACATTTGACTCAATTTTGGAAGTCTTTATCTCATAAGAAAAATTACAGGACAAATAACATAATGAGTTAAAATATTTGCTACATATAAAATTGACAGTCATGTAATTTTGTATATAAAGAGATTCTACAAATCAACAAGAAAAAAGATTCAAAATTGACAAAATATCAATAGGCAATTTGCTGACAAAATATTAGAAACAGGAAACACATACATGAAAAGGCTACCCATTTGTAATAAAATAAATTGATTTTTTAAAAAAGCTCCATTTTAATTATCAAATTAAAAAATACTGTAAAGATTGAAGATATCCAGAGTTGATGTGGTTGTGGTCACCTTTATATTCACAATAAAGTCTAAAAATTGAATGTCCTTTGACTTAGCATTTCTACTTCTGGGAATTCTATAAAAATGCCCCCATAATTCAAACACATCTATAAATGTTTATTATAGCATTATGTGTAATAATACAAATTTTTTAAGAGCCCAAGTGTCCATCAATGGGGAGGATTAAGTTAATTCATTATATAGTCATATGATACATAGATATGATACATAGATGTACGAATATCTTAAGTTGATTTTAAGGGATTAGCTAAAGAAATTGAACATATTGATATGTGAAGGAAGAAGGTACAACAATATGAATGGTATGACCTAATTTTATATAAAATCAGGAAATTATTAATATATATATAAACAAAGTAAAAATTAAAGGAATATACATAAATCTTTTGAAAAGGAATTTTTCTGAGGTAGAATTATTGAAGACATTCAACTTCCTGAATATATTTCTTTATTGCCTGAATTTTGTACACATTTGTATTATTTACTTTCATCTGAAACCAAAATATGTATTTGTTCCAAAATTTTAAATAATATCTGCCTAACAAAGCACTGTAAACATTCAAAATTGATACTTGAAAATTTACTTTATGTGCATCTGATGAATATTTGTAGTTTAATCCACACTTTTTAGGGCATTACTCTATGACAAGATACACAATGAAACTATTTAAGAATCAACATAATGCTTACTGTTTATGAGTTTTAATACTTAATACCTTTTTTAAAATCAAGAAGGTATAAACTCTCTTCTTAAAAAGAGAAGTATTAAAAATAATTTCTCCTATTGAGTGTGGAGTCTACAAATGAGCTAATCCTATGATAAAATAATCATGTCCCCAGGACACTGATGAAAATAATTCCTAAAAATATTTTTAAAATCCAAAGATAAGGCAGTTACCCTTTTTCAAACCTTCATAATAGTTACTCTTTTTTCACTCATTATATTTTAATCACATTTTACTGTAAATGTTAAGAAAAAATAGAATTTAAAACATATAGGTGCTTTTAAAAAATAAAATAAAATTTCCTTAAAATTTCATTGCCACTAGTTGCCAACAAATCAGTTGATTTTTAAGTGGGCATAGGTTATTATTGTTCTTTAGTAGGCAATTGTGCAATTAATATTCTCTTTGGAATCTGTCAGTAACATATCATTCTACCTCTTTTTTTTTCCAGCCAGACATTAAATATAATAAAAAATGTTTTGACTAGTCTTTTGCCTCAAAGGAATTTTATAAGCCTTAAATATATATTGAAATTCATGTAAAATGCAATACAATACTCAAGCTTCAATAAAATTCCAAAAACTTACAAAAATAATGTAATAGTTTAATGACAATAGATATGCCAAATAGTATAATGCTTTTATAGTCCATAGGAAAGAATATCTTTCATATATTTAATGTTTTTCAACAGCAACATAACTGGTGATTCTCACTTAACAAATACTATCTCTGAGACAATACAAATAGAACGTGGAATACAATCTCTATTGGGTAGCATTAACCGTTACTCAATCATTAAACAATGAGAAATATTGGGCTGTTTTTGTTATGGATTAAGAAAATGCTTTTGGAAGTAGATAAACATTTGTCCCTGCTGGAAGCTCCTTCAGCAGTAATGCATCATCATGCCTGACCAGCCCTAGAAACCTTGGAAAGACAAAATATGTACATGCTGGTTGTCAAGCATATGTGATATGTTTTGCTTTGTCACCTGGCAACCAAAAGATTTTTGAACTTTGCCAAAATCCATACTTTTGAGACTCGTAAGCTGCTTATTTTTTTTATATTCATAGAATGTAACCCAAGGTATATTTTTCTTTGGAAATCTAATTGACTTCTTGAGTTTTGAGACATTTTTGTTTAACTTTAGTTTTGCTTAGCTTAATTGTTAGGCATAACAACTCCAGTTCAGGTCAGAGTCCATGCTAGTTATTTAGACCTTCACGAATGGTTGATGAATTCTAAAAGTCGCATCGATTTCGTGTTTTTATCATGACTTGATGGAGCCACTAAAGTGAAATGACTACGGAGCAGGGAATCGGGGGACGAGTGTTGACTCTTGCTTAGCTCTGTTATTTAAACTAGCCTAGAGACTTCAGAAAAGCATGTAATCCCTCTGATCCCAGTGTCTCCAATTGTAAATTAAAGAATTTCGATGAAAAAATGTAAAGAGTCTTAAAAGTATTTGAGGTTTCTATTCCCTTTTTTAAATGGGAGAAATGCAAAAGATTTTCAGTCTAGTGACACTAGAGTCCATAGGCCTTTCATTCGTACAGGGTCAATTGTTGACCCCACATTCCATCCCAAAACCCTCCAGTATGCTCCGAAACTCTCCAGTACTTCCAAGATATAAGCCCCACTATAAATGCATTG